CGGCCGCGCCGTGGCGTGACCCGGCGGCACCGGTGGGTTGCGAGTTGCCCCGTCCCGGGCGTGTGACAGGAACTTCGTGCCCCGCGGGGGCCGCCCCACCCCGGTAAGCGCGCCTTAGACAGCTCCGTAGCTGGGCGTAAGAGGTGGGGGCTCCGCCTGCGTGGAAGCCCTTCGGCCAGGACGGTTTCTTCTGGGTGCCCTCCCGGTGCCTTTAAGCAGTGGTTAAAGTTAAGTGTTAACCCCAGAGACGCGGACGTGCTGTGAGCTGTTGGGAGAGGCGTGGGGCTCTGCGGCTGTCGGCGCCCGCTCCCCTTGGCCCCTCCGCCAGCCCAGGCGCGTGGGTTTGGTGCCCGGGAGAGACATTCCCTACCCGGGTCTGGTGGTGCCTAGAAGGGAGCATGCTTCGGCTGTTGCCGCGTGCTGGAGCTTTGTTACGCTATGCCGTTAAAAATAGGGTGATAGCAATTCTGTGTTAGGGTTGTAGTGGGTTTATGTTCTGTTTAAAGATGCTAAACCGAGCCCAGGTAGAGTAATTTAGGATTTCTGTGCTGCAGCATTGGTGACAAATTTGCCTTTGCAATTTGTGTTGCACATTACTCTGGAGGGAGGAAGAGCTGGTGGTTTTTTTCAGCCTGATGTTTTTTGCCTTAAGCTGGGATTAACTTTCATATACTCAGTGATGTAAATTGCAGTCCAAAGCTCAGCATGTGCGTCCAGATGTTATTTAGGTTGTTACATAGCATTTTTGGTGGGACAAAGGCTAATCCTCTGGAACACAAACCTTACTGATGATTTTTAGAAAAGAGCATTGGGTTGTTTTGGTTTTTTTTTTAAGGGACTGAGTATCACCACTTCCTGAGAACAGATCATCTGTTTGCAGTCTTTGAATAGGTAGACAATATCATAAGCATACGATGTATCATTGAACTTGAGATTTATGATACTTTTAGAAAACCCTCACGTCCTAACTTATAAAACGTGCCCCCCCCCCCTGCCGTTGCAGCAGCATTGTAGAGCAATGGCTATCATACTGGTGATGACTCTTGGACTAGTCAGTATGTCGTCTTTTTTTTTTTTTTTTCTTTTTCTAGCAGACCTCTGAAACAGTTGTACTTCCACTCATTGCACCAAATGCAAAAGGATATTATTATTTCAGACTCTGTGTATGTATAAAACTTACTTTAACAGAAATAGCATGGTTTTACTTTCATACTGATGCCCTGCAACTGTCTTCTTTCTAGTATAGTGCAGATACTTGTTTGTTGGGGAGGGGGGGTGGTGTTACCTCCTCAGTCCTTTCAGGTCTTAGGTGTCGTAGGCTTTACCTCCTTAAGTGTGACCTAGGAGGACAGAGCAGGTGAAAACCAGGGTGTTTGTGTGTGGTTAGTTATTAATTGGTGTGCGCTCTTGGAAAGCAACGTTTGACAAATGTTTAACTGGTTTGACAAACTCTGTAGACTAGTGCTGCTGCCAAGAGAAGCAGCGCCATTACTACCTGTCCTTCTGCTACGCCATACCTTTGCAGGCACGGGTAACTGGGAAAACTGGAGGGAAGTCATTCAGCTGAAAACTAACATTCTTCCCCTCTTTGTTATAACCTTTAATGAAATTTTTAAAACATCTTTCTCCTCAGCACATCACTGGGTTCTTTTTTTAAGGTTTTTGTTTGTTTCACCACCGCAGCTTCTCGTCTTTTTTATACCATTAATGCTTAAGCTAGTGATTGTGCTTTTCTTTAGGGACTTCTGTGGTATTAACATTGATAGAACTGAGTCTCTCAAAGTTCTTCCCAAATGCTTATAATACTGTCTAAGGTAAAACACATTGAAATCTGTGATGTGGCATGTATGTTGCAGCTTTCTTGTTAGCATTAGAATAAGCAGTTGAGGTTCCGACGGTTGCTTTGCAAAAAGAAAAAAAGGACGGAAAGTAAGTCTTATCTATAATTGGTATTTCTTAATACAATAGCTGCTTTCCATGTTGCTGAATTAAAAGTTTTCACTGGCTACTATCTTTGACATTGAAAAGGAAGAACTGAAGAGAAAACAAACTATGAAAGTATTGGTTATTGGCCTTGGAGGGTAAGTATTAGCAAATTAAATTTCCTTTACAGCTCAAGACTGGTCTTCCGTTCAGAATGAAGTCATGTCACTTCAATTTATGAATGGATACTTTTTGAAAATAGATTACAAATACAACATGTAATTGCCTCATTTTATGGCATGTAACTCTTAAGAAATTGTTCCTGTCTCTGTTGGAGATCTCCAGTACCACCTCTCTCTAACCTCTTTCTTGGCATTGCTAGATTTACTGTCAGAAAGCTGTTGGAACCTGCCAGAATATTTATAGATGTAGAGAGTATTTAGTGTGAATAAAGTTTTGGGGGTTTTAGATTGTGGCTTTGTGGTTTACCCTAACTATATAAAATGTGTGTGTGAGCTTGTACATATGTTTAAAAGATAGATGTTTGTCTTGATTCAGTTTTTACTATGTTTTCTAACTCAGTGTAACAAATGGGGGGAAAACAACGCTGGCAGAAAAGCTTAAGAAAATGCTTCCCAACTGTGATATAATCTCTCAAGATGACTTCTTTAAGGTAACAGTATTGATGGAAAGACCTGATAGGTAAAAGTAGGCTTAAGTAGATTTTAGTATCATTTCTTCTCTTTTCAGTTCTCCTATTGATAAACTTTTCAAATTGATGCTGCTTAAAATAATGGTAACTTCATGAGAAAGAAAAATAAAATGAGCACTGGTGTAATTGAACTATTAGTGGCCAAAACCACTGAGTATACTCAGTAAAAAGAAGTTTACTGTCTTCTTTGATACCCTTTAAAATAAGAAACGGGTGTATGTTGGATGCATTTTTCAAGATACTTTGTGCTAATGAAGTTAATGATACTATTGTGTTAACCCTACACCCATACAGCAATAGGTAGTTATTTGTTTCCCGAATCAAAACAGAAAAAAACCTTTTGCATTGACATCGGAGTTCTTTGTTAAGGAGGGTGAAGCAGTTCTTATTTCTGAAGTAAAGCTCTAATGAACTTGAGAGGTATGATTTGGAGAATTTGTTGTTCTAGATTAAATAAAGTGTTTGTATTGTATTTTAATAGTTGTATACAGCTATTTAATTTTGAAGACAAATTTAATCAATTGGGATACAAAGGTGTATAACCCTTAAGTTTGTAATTGAAGAGTATATATCTGTGAAAGTGGTCATAAAAGCAGCCTTGAAAATATTCAAATTTTTTTTCCCCTTCAGCCAGAGTCTGAAGTAGAAACAGATGAACGTGGATTTAAGCTATATGATGGTCAGTAACTTTGATGCATTGCTTTTGAACAGTGTACTGAAACTGTTGTGCTGAGCCTCAATACTTCTTCCTCTCCACCCCCTGCCCCTCTTCCCTTCTGAACAAGGTAGTAAACAAATGGTTAAGAGCAATCCTTTGCTCAGTTTCTCTCAGCTCACTGAGATAAATAAGAAAACTTGCTAAACTAGTAAATAGCTCAAGCTAGTGCCTGAGCTTTCCTTTTCTCTTTTAAATTTTTTCCTCTCTTTCACAGTTGCATCTGGTGCAGGAGCAAATGGTACTGTTCAGTTGAAAGTCTTGACTTGCAGCACTGGCATAAGCTTAACCTCATCACTTTCTATGTAATGATGGATTTTTTTTTTCCACTTTGATAGTGAACTCATGGGATATCACCACTGAGACTCTTTAGTTGTCGTATTCCAAATCGGTCAAAACTTGGGTCTGATCCTGACACCTTAATTTCATGTCAGATCTCACATAGAGACCAAATATTTTGAAGCTCATGGTTAATGCTGGCTCAACGTGCCAATTTAGGCTTATAAACTTATAGATCAAGACCCACTTTAGGCCAGTGCTTTGGTTCAGGTCAATTCGAGTTGAGAACAGTTGATTATTGGTATGTATGTTGCAGCTTTTTTGTTAGCATTAGAATAAGCAGTTGAGGTTCCGATGGTTGCTTTGCAAAAAGAAAAAAAGGACAAAGTCTTATCTATAATTGGTATTTCTTAATACAATAGCTGCTTTCCATGTTGCTGAATTAAAAGTTTTCACTGGCTACTATCTTTGACAGTGAAAAGGAAGAACTGAAGAGAAAACAAACTATGAAAGTATTGGTTATTGGCCTTGGAGGGTAATTTTGGTAATTTTTTTGGTAAAAAAATACTTTTTGAAATTGAAAAATCAACCAAGTTGATACTTGGTGATCACAAAATGTATTACTCGGGAACATTGGCCAGAACCTTAAATTGTGTCTGAAAACTAACTCTTACCAGCTATGCAGTCTTTGGCTCAACTTCTAGACTTCATGAAACTAGAACGTGAAACTGGAGGAATAAGTTGAACATTCTCATTCAAATATCTGGGTTTAATGCTGCTCTTAAGAGCAAATGCATTTCTGAGGTGCTTTTATGTTACCCAAAGGCTGCCATCTCTTTGCCATTCAGTACTTACTCGAAATGTTCTTACATGTCTACAGACAAAAGCAGGTGCTACATCATGCTGTTTTGTTTTGTATGCCATCCTCCTTTCAGTCTAATCCATCCATCCCCACCCTCCAAATATCTGAAACCTAGTAAAAACCCAAAGCAAAAATTTTTGAGCGATCCCTCCCTTCAACTGTATCAGTGGCAATTGACAGAAGGGTGGAGGTCTCAGGGTGAGTAAGTTTTTACAAGTTTTGTGGAATAGAACAGTCCCTGCAGTTTCTGTTGTCAAGGGAAAGGCTGTGAAGTGAGTTTGCACGTTTTTTCGTGCCACAGAGTTCGGAGAGACCACACTCACCAGAAATACCCCAGTCCTGGGGAAAGCTTTAGTTTCAGTTTATCATCAGTTGCAAACATGGAACTACTTATATGTGTGAGAAAATTCTTGGGGTAATCCCATTCCCTTTCATTTAGACTTGTATGTAGATTATTTGATTCTTACAGATTAACCTAGGGGTACTTAAGGGTTCTTTATTTTTTTTATTCTCTGTTTTTAAGGGGTGCCTAACTTTCTGTTTTCATCTAGTACTTGATGCCCTCTATATGGATGAAATGGTGAAAAGTATTCGCAATTGGATTAAAAGCCCGGCAAGCTCAGGCGTTGTGACAGAAGAGCTGCAGAATACATGTGATAATCTGAAAAATACAGATGATGTTTATATTTTGATTGTTGAAGGCTTTCTGCTGTACAATTATGAGTAAGCAGCAATATGTAACCTGGTATATTAAAAGCTGCCCTAAAAAGGAAGAGGGAACTAAATATATTATTATTTTAGGCCGCTTAATGAACTATGGAATAGAAGATACTTTCTGACCCTTCCTTATGAAGAGTGCAAAAGGAGAAGGAGGTAAGATTATTCAGTTATTGCTCACAGAGGGTCACTGTACCCCCAAACCTGGAGTGGTTCTTTTATACTAACTTTTCTTCAATGCTTGCCAAATGTAAGCTATTAATATCATCTGTCCTCTGTGATTCCCAGGGAAGACTGTGTGGGTGTTTAACCAACGTTAACAAAAGCATGCAGAGATGTGTGGGTTTGGGGCTTGGGGGGGGACATGACACTTGCATTTTAGAACACAGGGATATTAAAATGTTAAATGTTTTACAAACACTGGAAAGAGAATTTGTTGTCCAGATAAATTATTTAGATTACTGACTGCATATTGGAGTTAAACCATGTTTAAAATGAGAAACAGTTAAAAAAATACTAAGCAGTCTTATCCTTGGTTGGATACAGCTACGTGATGATTATTGTTAAAGGAACAATGTTCATGTGTGGTTTTAGTGTATGCTTCGTTTAGGCTGTGCATTAGTTGTACCATATATCTGATTGAGATTATTGAGCCAGTGTCTGACTTGCCTCCAAATTTGGAGCAATACTGTGTGCTTGGAGCAATACATGTGCACGAAGTCAGAATTGGCTGGCTGAGTGAAGAAATCCTCTATTCAGCTGGCTTTCGTTGATTCCACTTTCTTGGTTTCTCACTAGACTCACCTTTAAAGGACTTCAGTGTCCAGGCTGGAAGTGACTAGACAAAACCGCTAGTCATTTAAAACTTGAGAAATCTGTATAACCAATAAAAAAAGAAAAAAAGTAATTCGTTTTGGTAACACTTTCAATACAGCTTAATTTATATGTAATACCTTGTTCAATTAAAAACAAAAATCCTTTTACCTCTTCTTAAATGTAATTTGATTGGCAGAAATAGGTAAGTTAGCAAGAATTCGTATCACAGATAATATTAAAACAAAGGAGCCTCCTTTGCTCAAACAGTTATGCAGCCTGCCAGCCTATATAGGGTATAACATATCCTATTTTGTATAGATGCTCTTATTAAACCAGCTGACACTAGGGTAAAAATGTAAAGCTTGCATGGGAAAGCAAATATATTTTTGTGTAGCACCAGAGTCTACCAGCCAGCAGATACACCGGGGTACTTCGATGGACACGTGTGGCCTATGTATCTGAAATATAAAAATGAATTGGAAGAGAATGCAATTAACGTTGGTATGGTATCCTTAATTTTAAACTTATAAAATGCTCAGGTGTGGCACTTGTGCAGTTTTTGTTGGGTTATAGGTTTTTTTGTCATTTGAAGAACAAATATTTTTGTGGCACTTGGGCAATAGGTTTGGACCTTTTGTTGGTTTATTTTTCAAGTCTATAGGGTTTTGAGTTTTGGAGTTTTTTACTAATGAAAATTATGAAGTTAAAAATAGAAATGTTCTGATCACTAATAGAGTCCATTTAACAAGCTAGTTTGTGTGTGCGTGTGTGCATACATGCGTATGGCTAAATAGGAAGATTCTCAGACAATAGCTGATGCACTGGCATCAAGAGAATTAAAATCCTGGTTGAAGTCCTCTAATAAGCTGAAGATACTTCCTAGGTGTGTTTTGTACACCCACTCTTGCATGAGAAGTGTCAAAGCCAAGTCAGCTGATGGGGTGCTGCCATGAGCTTGTGTGAAGTTCACACTTGTACAGCTCTTGGACTGCCTACTTCTGGAGTGGGGGCCAGAGGAAAGAGAAGTCAGGTGGCTGCTTCATCAGCATGAAGACAAGGGCACCACTTCTTGCTGTGCAGTGAGGATGGGAACTGCAGTGCCCTTCCTTGACTTGCTCAAACCCTGAAGCTGAGGAAGAACCTGAGGTCTTCCACTGCATAGAAACCTTTCTCCTGAATTATTCCATTGCTTTACTGTCCTAATGTTATTACCACTACCCTTATGGAGACTTTTATACCACAAAAATTTTTAAATTAATTCTTAACTAGAATACTTTTCCATTATGTTATTTTTTTAACATGTAAAATCACTTTGGGAAAGAAGAAAGGGGGGGTGCTGTTCTTGCTTTTTATTTTTTCATCTCTTCTTATTGCACCCAGATAACTGGCAGAGAACTCATGAAAACATTTTCTTTTGTCTGTCTTAGTTTATTTGGATGGAACAAAATCCCAAGAAGAGCTTTTACCCTGTGTGTACAGTGATATAATACAGGAATTAAAAAAGCTGGGGGAAAGAAGTAAGTAATTTTACTGGAAATTGAATCTGCTTATGCCATTCCAAGTTAACAAGAAGATAATAATTTTATATGAAAATACTGCAAAGATTATGTAGATCTGTATCTCTCCATATATATGTGTTACAGTCCTTGTACATCTCTGCCCATTACTATAAGTCATCATAAGCTACAACTTTAAGTTCCTTGAAATTGGATGAAATAATAGGTGGATCTACTGTTATCTAATGATAAAATAATTAAAAAGTGAACAGAAGGAATATGGGGTAAAACATCAATGAAAGCAGACATGGTGGTGGTATTAGTTTCTAATATACAATGATGTCATGTGCAGACAGAAAAATTACAGGTTAAATGTGTACTTTTTAATTTAGATCAGCAGGTCACAGCATGATAATGTAGAAAGCCTGGGTTCCATTTGTTACGAATTGAAAACCCCAAGACTGTCATACTTGGCAAGCCAACCAGCTGAGCAGATGTTACGTGTACGTCCGTAATACTAGTTCGTACAACACAAGTGGATTTGTAGCGACTATTAACTCTGTAAGCCTCATATATTGTTGAGTAGTATCAACAATGTGTTGCTCTTTAGAATTTCTTCAATCAGTCATGGTTTGGCTGATCTGTAAATCTGATTGAATGCGTACATTTTAAAGAATATAAACCTATTTTTGTGTACAAAACTAAACTATAAAGATGCAGTTCTGTTGGATTAATAAGCATATTTGAATATGGATGAATGCAATTTGAAATGTTCCTATAGGAATGACAGTGATTACCTCTATTTTTATGAGCTTCTAATCACTGGTAAACATAGCTAGTTCCTCTAGCTAACCATCTGCTGTGGCAATAGTAAGTTTAAGATTATATAAGCTGTTACACTGCTTAGTCAGTAACTGAAGCTGTTACTGAACACTTCATAACTGAACTTACTTAGACTTGCTAAATACCTCTGTGGTGTTTGTCAAGTGATTTGTATGTTGTGTATTGTTTGGAGCAGTTGGGAATGAATATTTAAAAAAACCCAAACAAACCTGAAGAGAAGTCAGATTGTTGGAAAAATATGGGGGAATAAGATGTCGGAGAGAATGCAGATGCATTGCTAACAAGATTAAGTACATGTGTTGTGCAAAGATCGATTATCGGGATAGCATAGGCTACTAGACAATAAAAGCATGCTTCCGGGAGGAGGAAGGAAGAAATAATTCTTGTTAATTTTCATAGCTCAGGTTGAGATTATACTAATTAAAGAGTTCAGAAAGCAGGTATGCTAAATCTATGTTAAAACTTTGTTACAGGATTTCTGTGTATATATATTTAGATAAACTAGGAAACTGGGAAGTTGAATTGTCTTTGGTTGCTGAATAAGTAATGTATTAACTCTTACATCTTCTACACAGTCTCTTACATTTTTATCAGCCAGAATAAAAATCAAACTACAGACATGAAAAGCAAAGGATGGACTATATTACTTACTATGTGTGAGCTGAACTGATCATGGTGATTGAAATTTAATGCTTTACTGTTAACAGTGTTAAGAGTCCTAAACCTGTATATAAGAAATGGGTCTTAAACAGATTAGAGACGTGTAAAGCTGTGTTTAAGACAAAGTAATTCCAAGTACTATTTTGTATTATTATTTTGCAGTAAAAATACTGCAAGTTGCATTTGCTCAAATGCAGTGATGGACTGTCTGACTTTAAGGTGTGTTTTTGTTTTTATTTCCTTTTGGAAGTGGTGCAACTGTAACAGATTAGCTAATACTTGGATGGTTGTGGTGGGTTGAGCTTAGCTAGCCCACCAAGCCGCTCTATCCTGCCCCTCCATTTAATGCTTTACTGTTAACAGTGTTAAGAGTCCTAAACCTGTATATAAGAAATGGGTCTTAAACAGATTAGAGACGTGTAAAGCTGTGTTTAAGACAAAGTAATTCCAAGTACTATTTTGTATTATTATTTTGCAGTAAAAATACTGCAAGTTGCATTTGCTCAAATGCAGTGATGGACTGTCTGACTTTAAGGTGTGTTTTTGTTTTTATTTCCTTTTGGAAGTGGTGCAACTGTAACAGATTAGCTAATACTTGGATGGTTGTGGTGGGTTGAGCTTAGCTAGCCCACCAAGCCGCTCTATCACTGCCCCTCCTCAACTGGACAGGGGGAGAAAATACGATGAAGGGCTCGTGGGTTGAGATGAGAACAGGGAGATCACTCAGCAGTTACCATCACGGATAGAACAGACTCAACTCGGAGAAATTAATTTAATTTATTGCCAATTAACACCAGAGCAGGATAATGAGAAATAAGAACAAATTTTAAACCACCTTTCCCCCTGCCCCCTTCTTCCTGGGCTCAACTTCACTCTTGGCTTCTCTACCTCTTGCCCCCAAGCGGTGCAGGGGGGTGGGGAATGGGGGTTGCAGTCAGTTCATCACACATTGTCTCTGCCGCTCCTTCCTCCTCACACTCTTCCCCTGCTCCAGCATGGGTCCCCCAAAGGGTCACAAGTCCTGCCAGCAACCCTGCTCCAGCGTGGGCTGCCCTCTCCACGGGTCCACAGGTCCTGCCAGGACACTGCTCCTGCAGGGGCTCTCCTTGGGGTCACAGCCTCCTTCAGGGCCCATCCACCTGCTCTGGCATGAGGTCCTCCATGGCTGCAGGTGGGTATCTGCTCTGCCATGGACCTCCATGGACAGCAGGGGGACAGCCTGCCTCACCATGTGTAAGGCATGAGAAGACTTTGTTACAGTAACCCAGGACAGTTTGCCTCCCCCATCTGACAATGTAGAGCCACAAGCACGTTTTATCTTGTTACGGTAACCTGGGGTAGTTCACTCCCCCTGCAGTTGCACATAACCCTGCATGGGCACCAATGTGATGGCCAGCTGCAGATACTGGAGTTTGGACAGCAGCACCTGTGTGATATCAGCAAGTTTGCTAATGAGCAAAACAGGACAGTTTATATACATGATATGTTAATCAGCACAAGTTTTATTATCCACCCCTGCAGTGCTTTCCCTTGAGCTTCACTCCCGAGCAAGGCTCCACTGTGTTGGGTCCCCATTTGATTAGCGTTGGTGTCCCGGGGCTCCCACCATGGTAATGCTACGCTTTCCATAAAGCCAAACCTTTCACTTGCTGAGTGCTGTGCCTCATCCCTAAGGGATCCACACCTGCTTTTCACTCGTAACACCATGGTCTTCACCAGGGGCTGCAGGGGAATCTCTGCTCCAGTGCCTGGAGCACCTCCTCCCCCCCTCCTTCTTCACTAACCTTGGTGTCTGCAGGGCTGCTTCACATATTCTCACTCCTCTTCTCCAGCTGCTGTTGCACAGCAGTTTTTTCCCCTTAAATACATTATCACAGAGGCTCTACCACTGTAGCTGATGGGCTCAGCCTTGGCCAATGGCAGGTCCATCTTAGAGCCGGCTGGAACCAGCTCCGTCCAACGTGGGGGAAGCGTATGGCATCTTCTCACAGAAGCCACCCCGTAGCGCACCCCCCCGACTGCCAAAACCTTGCTATGTAAACCCAATACAATGGTGAAAGGAAGAAATTTTTTGTTGCTGCCTTTCCCATCCCTGCATGGAACTTGTAGGGTTATGGTGTCCCTTCGGTAAACTTGAAGTATTTTCTTAGATGGAGAAATGCATGAGTACAACTTCAAATGGTATGTTGGTTCCAGAGGAACATAAGGGATTCTTTTATGAATTAAGAAGGACAGGAAATGAAGGGTTAAGACTTAATGGGCTCCTCTCATGAGGAGGAAGAATTTCAGTATTGGCAGTCCCTGGGTGATGTTATTCAGCAAGCTTAGCCATGATTCAGAGGAGGGAATGAACAATGAAATCACCCAAGTTTGCAGATGATACCGAGCTTTCTCAAGTAGCCCAACATTGGTCCAGTGGCAAGGAGCTCAGTTTTGTGAGATCCTTCCGTGGGCAGAAGGGGTAGATGAGCTCCAGTATAGTTTTACGCACTTGTGGTGTAAACCATTCATCCAAACATACATGGTACTGAACTTTTAGTTCAGCAACTTGTAGTTACAACTCGGGGCAGAGATCTTTGACAATTCTTCTAAAACCATCACCACAGTGTGGAGCTGCATCAAAATATTAGGTAGGCATCCTATGGAACGGTATTGTGAACAAGACAGGTGGTGCTACTTTGGTCCTATGTATAACCAGTGGACCCACATTTTCAGTATTGGGCAGTTCCAGTTTCTACATCTGGAGGGAGTCCATAGTGGAGTTAAAAGAAGAGCAACTAATGTGATCAATGGAATGGAGCAGCTGCTTTGTGAGGAGAAACTAAAAATGCTGGGACTCTTCATTCTGGAGAGGAGAAGACAGGGGAAGAAAGGTCAAGGTTTACAAAATCTTGAAAGTTGTGAGCCAAGTGGATGCAGAACTAGTATTCACCAAATTGTACAAATACTAGTTTAGGGGGCACTCCTCCTTCGCTTAAAACAGATTGACCAATTATATTAAGGTGATATTTCACATAGATGAAGGTGGTATTTCACACAGCAGATAGTGAGCTTCTGAGGTATATTGCCATAGGAGGCAGACAGTACCAGCAGGTTCAAAAGGGATTGGGAAGATTCATTGACACCATGGCCATAAAAAGTAGTAAAAGAAGCAGGCACGGCTATACCACGGATGGCCTGTAGAAACTGGCCAGGCTCACCTGTGGTGCCTTAATTGCATGTCTTCTCGCCAGTTGCTACAGCAACTCACCTTAGTGGGAAAAGACAATAACCTCTTCTGAGTCTCTTTGGGAGGTAAAGTATTTCAGGTGCCTTTATAAAAGCTTACAGAATTCCCCTGCAACGTTGGTACGTTGGTAGAATGCTTTTGCTTTGAAGGAGGTACAGCCCCTGACAGGAAAAATCTAGTTTGCCCCTGGCAGGTGCCTTTTGACTGCCAGGGCTGTGCTAGCTGTAAAGTGGTCGGGGAGAGCCGCAGGACAGGAGCCTGTGGTTCTTTTTGTGAAGAAAGGTTGCTTTTTTGGAAGTGGTGTCACATTCTGCTGGCTGCAATTTCAGGCTGTCGTAGCCGAAGGAATCCTTGCCAAGTGTCTTGCGTATGTTTAGAAACACGGTGATGATAGAAGTGGTGTTGTTCTACAGAAGGCTAATGGGCTAATGGATAATATATAAGAAGCACAGAAATGCAACTACAGGATTAGCTACACGTCAAGAAGGTGATTTCTTAGTCTTCATGATGTCAAAATAATGGAAAGAACATGACAATTTAGTAGTCATGAACACTGATGTAGTAGGAACAAACTTTACCTCACAGAGCTATTGCTCCCTCTCTAACCTTCAAAGTTAAGTCTAAAAGCTGAATTTCTGTTTATGCTGTGTATCATTGATTCAGATGTTGGTTTTGTCACATACACGGTGTTTCTTACTTTAGGAAACCACTGAATGTGCCCTTGGGAACAATGATTCTTTTGTCCATCCAACTGGGAATAATGTCTGTGCTTTCTCTCTAGCACTGCCACTGAACACCTTTATAGTCAAAACTGTCCAGTCAGTTAATGTAGCTGCAAGAGAGTAAGAGTAGTGTGAGCGTGAAGAAAACTGGAAAAAATTAAGAGTAAAACGAGAGTGTTTCTGTTAGGAGGCTGATGTTCCTATTTCCAGAGAGAGAAGGTTGGTGTGCCAAAAAACGTCTCTCTCCTGTCCTCCAGAGAGAGAAGGTTGGTGTGCCAAAAACGTCTCTCTCCTGTTCTGTTATGTTATGTGGTTTATTAAAAGACTACCACTTCCTGCACATCTTCAGACAGAGGAGTGTTGAAGGACAGTGCTTTCCAGGTTCTCAAACTGAGAAGGGGATGGGCCCTTACAAAGGAGGCCCTCTGGTGAGAGCTGCCTCTTCTCAAAGCCAGCTGTAAAGGAGCGTGGTGACTTGCCACAGGACACACAGAGGGTGTCAGCACCCAGCCAAACGAGTTTTGTCAGGTGGAGGAAGATGTGCTCAACTGTCCTCAGGGTGAAAGTGTGTTGGGGGGTGTGTGGAATTTAATGTCGTGCATTGCTAGACACTGCTTAACGTGCCTCCTTACTTTTCTCTCCCCACAGTTGGTCCCTATACGTGTTTTCAGGAAGCATAATCCGGCTTTAGTCCGGAGCAGAGGTACTTTGCAGAGCTCCCTTTGTGACTCCTGCCTCTTGTCAGCACAGCTACATCCCTGCTCGTGGCTGGCCGCTGCAGGGGGCTGGATGCACACCTTACCCCAACTTGGAGCAGCCGACCGGGCAGAGGCCTGTGGCCTGCCGGGCAAGAGCTGGGGTTCATTAATTGCTGAACTTGTACGTTCAACTTTGGCGTGAGGAGTCCAGAGGAGCTAGGCAGGCACGCATCCTCTGCAGGTGCGCTCCAAAAGTCTGTCAGCGTCACTGCCACCACCGACCCCAGCGTGCCTTTTTTTACAGGCTGGGACTAGAACTACTCCGCCCTGAGTTTTTCCTCCCTCCTCGTGACAGCTAACGCGTGGATGTGGAGTACTTGGCAAGGGCACTGACCT